TAGTGTTGTCCTGATTTTGCTTTCATGCAAGCCACCTGTGAAACTTCAAGTAATTTCTCTTTCAGCAAGGTTAGACCAATGCTACATCTTAGTAAATGTTACCTTGGAATTATGTAAGGCCTATACAACAATTTAGAAACTAATACTGCATTGCAATGCTGTTTTCACAGAAGTTGTGGAGATCAAAATTTCTATTGAAATACTGTTGAGGTGGGTTGCACACATTTAGTTTGCAGGGTGTTTAGAAATCTAAATTTCCTAATTCTTTTCCTCCCTTACTTTTTCCATATTCAGAGGAGAAACTCATTTTATAGTCTTTGGTTTTTCATGTAGTTGATCTCCAGAGAATTTATTTCCTTTTAAACTACTAACAAAAATGTGGAGCATAAGAAATTCTTCAATTGCACTTAGTGAATAAATTTCTTGCCAGCAGGTCTTCTGAGATTTTCCATGCCATTTCTCTACAAGAGAAGTTTACTGATTGCCATGTTAAAAATGACATGCAACTGCAGGTAATAAAAAACACTAAGTCTGTTATTTCAGCAACATTGCTGGCTTTTTTCTTAAGAAATAAGGAATGCAAAAAAATTCTAGCTTTTAAGGATATTTGAAGCTGATTTGCAAAACAGTTCATTAGCACTTAAACTTTCCAGTAGTTTTTTTTATTTTTCCTCTATGGCTTGCATGCTCATAAGTGAAATATTGAACATTTTAAGGTTAACTGCTTGACATCAGACTATGACTAGTGGCATGACATTACCTTTAGTCTTAGTATATGTAATAAGTAGGTGCTAAACATTTTGTCCCTACATTTTAGAAGAGTACTGTCTTTACTGTTCAGATACAGCCTGACCTGACAATGGCAGTGGTTAGTTGTCTTTAATTGGATGACCTGTGTAATATTAATGATGTACATGCTGTTCCTAGGAAACTGCAGAAATCCTTAGCTGACAGTAACCACAGAAGCAAATGGTGACATTTCAGAGTGTTTCTCAGGCACCAGAAGGACATGACGTTTTAAAATATTTTTTTTCTCAATCATTTATCTGGTTGTAATGTACCACGCAGGCAATCTAAGAGGGATGTAAAAGCCTTCTGAAAGCCATAATGATATGATGGCTTAGGTTTCTCTACGGATATTAAGATATTTATAAACTAGCTTGCTGCATTTCATTTCTTATGACTTGCCCTGAAAGATGTTTGTACCTGCTCATTCATATCACAAACCTCTGTGTCTGAGCTGAAATTAAGTGTAATCATTTCTAAATACTCACATTGTTACACAAGACACACTTTTGCTATTGTGAGTGATTGTTTGTCAAGATGTATCATCAGAAAATTAATAAAATTCATTAAATAAGAATTTTAAATAGCCAATCAACAGAAATGTTCCTTTGTGTTTATCATATCTTGGATCATAGGAATCCATTAAAACAATTTTACTGTTTTTGTGGATGTCAAATAAATAGCAAAAGCCAGTTAAATTTCTTCAAGCTTCTCCCCTAAAGCTACCACCAGTTCTGCAGTGGAACAGAACTGTTTCTAGTGGTTTGAAGAAACTGTTTAAAAGTTCTTCATCAAATTGACATCACACAGTCTTTTAATAAAAAAAAATTCTGGAAGGCAATTACAGTTACAGAATCCTATGAAGGGTGATTAAGGTCTGCATTAAATGGCTTGTGAAGGATTGATGGGAAGAGCAGCTCTTCCTCCAGTTAAGCAGTGTGCTAGCAACAGGTGACCAAAGGCCGTGTTCCCCATGGAGCGGGCTGTTCTCCAGAGAAGCCTGAGGCTGGTAGAAATGGTATAGCAGGACATATTCAGTGAATAGACCAGAGAACTCATAAAGTGTTGTTTAAGGGGCAGATGGCTGGCATCCTCGGCGTTTGAGGTATCAGTGTTAGCCCATGAAGTGGGGAAGGAGCTGGTTTCTTTGGGAGACGTAGCAAGTTTGGGCTTCTGGCTGTGTTGTAGAGTCGTTCACTAAAACTCGGGCAGCTGAGCTTGCTTAACACAGCCAACAGAGTGATGGGTGTTTTTCTGTTGGCTAGCAGTGTGCCTTCCAGCTTGTTGTCCTAGAAAAAAAAAGATGATTAGGAAAGAATTTAGGTGACTTATGTTAAAAAAAAAAGGGGGGGGGGATCCAGAAGGTACACTCTGAACTGCAGTTTTTACTCTTAACAAGAAAGGGCAGAAAAGCAAATAAAGGGCTTTGATAACTGCAAAGTCCTATCAGCAGATAGTAGCCTCTGGAAGCTCCCTCAGCTTTTTGGGCACTGTGGTGATAACTAATGGCTTCGGTGGTGTTGTCCCGTTTTCTGGAATAGACTCCCTGGCTTTGCTTGTGATGGCCATGGACAACTAATGAGTGAACTGCTAATTATCTCACAGTCAGCTTGTTAGCATTAATTAGTTTTTGCTGAAATAAACAGTAAAAATCAAGAGTGTTTCCTTTGCAGCAGCTGCAAAATTTAGATATGAACAAGACCCATTTTTTTACATTGTTGTTTTAGATGTAAATTACGGTGGTGAAATGATGAAGAGTTTTCCTAAAATTGTCAGATACAGTCTGAAATTCAGTGTCTTCTGATGTTGAGCAGAAACCCAGTATTTCCTTGGTTGCTGTCCCATAAATAAGAAAAGGAATGGTGCTGGGAGCTGGCAGAGGGCAGTTCCCATGTGTGTGGACTTGGGTAGCCTTTTTCTCTGCAGTGAGAGGATTGGCAGGAGATGGATATCTTTGCTTTGAAGAAAGGTATAAGAAAATGCCATGAAGAACACAAAGTTAAGTTTTGAAACAGAGCAGTTACCTCTCTTATCTTTCCCTTTTCATTCTCTTGCATCCACTTTTTCATCAGATTTTTAACTCTTTTGCTAGCAAAGCTTGGAGTTCTGCTGACACCTTGTTGCCAACGGGATTCTTTGAATACTGGTTCCACACCTTGTGTTACAAGTAATGCTATTTTTCTTTATCAGTCATTTTTCCCTTTCACTGAAAATCACTGTCTCTTGTTTTGTGGTGTACAGAAACGCTGCTTTCCAGACTGATTTCTCCATGCCATAATGGTTGGTGTATTTCACTGTCCCTTATTATACTTTCTAAGGGAAAGGGGACTGACCTCTTCAATCACTTCTCATAGGAACGACCTTCCACATTTCCAAGAACTCTCATTACTTCTTGCTGAACTCCTTTTAGCTTTTAATGCTTATTGTATGGGCCATTACCACTGAAGTTATGCTGTAGATAAGTCTGTACTCACAGTTCATTATAGACCCTGTGACTGTTTTCATGAACCCTTCTAAACACTTAACAATTCTTTGGGGAGGGCTCCAAGGAGTAGTACCCTGTGGGAGACACATGTTTCTATTTCTTCCTTTGAACCAGGCCTGTAGAATTCAGGTGGCGGAGAAAGGTAGGTGATTAATGAACAGGGCTCGGAATCAGGAGAAATTATTTCTCTTACAGACTTCCTTAGTGATGTCCTAGGGAGAAACAAATGAAAAATTCAACTGTGTTCATATTTACCACAGTAATAAATTTGCCTGTTAGTTTGTGAAACACTTTTCCCTTAAGTAACGTGCCAATGTATATAAGCACAAGTATTCTAATTATGAGCGCATGTGATGTGTACCTCTCTTTTAATGGGATTGGGTTAATTGCATGATCTGATTGCTCTTGATGATTAGATGTCTTGCATTCCCTGGTTTTAACAGATAGGAAGAGACAGTAAATAGGAGCTCAATGCCAAAAGAGGAAATGGAGGATTTTGGTTGCAGTAATGGCATTGTGTCCATCAGATAAAATTAAGCTGTTTCACTGAAACAGGAAAACTTTTTAACCTATATGACAAAAGAAATCAAGGAAAAATCCATATAAAAACATCTTAGTGGGGAGGAGAGAAATCATGGTATTAATAGCACTGTGTCTGCTAGCATCTTATCACTGGATTAAGGTTAACAAGCACAGACTGAAGAGACGTAAGTAGATACGTCTGTGTGCTTGATTAGCAATTACTTAGGTCTGCTTTGTGTAACACTCTTCGTGGAGACTGTCCAGAGCATATAATCAACAGAATGTTTGATTAAAACTGTTGCTACAGAAGAACTGCATTTAAAAAGGGTAAGGAAAAGGAGGCTTCAACCCAGAAAACAGCATATTCTTCATTTTAGTTCCAGGACAATCCTTTTTATTTCATTCAGGTGTTTACATGCATACTAAAATCTCTCTGGAATTAGGGCCCAAAATGTAGTCTTTTAAAAGGTAAATTCTTCATAGATACATATTGTATACATAGATATATCTTGAATACATATTACACATCAAATATATATGACTATACAATAGATAATGAAATAAACATTAAGCATTCCATGTGGAATGCTTATGCATATATTTAATACTGGACTAGTTTTTTGAATGTGAAATGAGAATGATTAATTTTATGAGTTAGCTGATTGCACTTGCTTTGTAAAGTGTGAGCTGAATATCCAAAGCGGCTGCTGAATAAGATTTTTCAGCTCACTAGGATGGACAGCTGTTCAATGGCAACACTTTGGTAAAAGGATTGCAATTTAATGCATGTGTAGTGCGGTAAGCTTAACCTAATCTTGGAGAGATCATTCAGGATAAGAAGCTCTGTTTGCGTCACTTTATTTAAAAAATATCTAATCAAGACACACTTTGTACTATTGAGGCATGATTTGCACTAGATCTCAACAGTAGTAATGTCAATGACAGTGCTTAGTATTTGTTTTGGTATACTATGTTGTCCTCTGGTATTATTTCTCTGCCTTTGATAAACAGCTGAATATAAATTACTGTTTGTTTAGCCAGAGTTTAGAAAATAACCTAAATCCACTGATGGAGGCTTGTAGCTTCTTGAGGATGCTGTGGCCAGTTGTAGTAATAGTGATGCCCACATCTCAGGCATGCTGTGTGATCCCATCCATGAGTGATTTTTAGATGTTATTCTAAGACATTTTCTATGTTTTTCTTGTAGGAGAACCAGAATTTAAATATGTTGGGAATATGCATGGGAATGAAGCTGTTGGAAGGGAGTTGCTCATCTTCTTGGCTCAATACTTGTGTAATGAATACCAGAAAGGAAATGAAACTATTATCAACTTGATCCATAGCACCCGTATCCATATCATGCCATCTTTGAACCCGGATGGTTTTGAGAAGGCGGCATCCCAGGTTTGTAAAGCTACATGTATAAGAAGAGTTATCACCGTCTATATCAACCTTAAGATCATAATGACTAGCAGTTTTACAGATACATGAACTTTTGGTGGTGGTTGTTGAATGGAACAACATAGCTGAGGTATTTCCTGATAGTATAACAGGCTTGTTCTGTTTAACAAGAAGGATTTCATGTTTGGGTTTTCAACAAATAGCTGTCTCTCGTGTAAGTGAGTTTACTGTATTTTAGAATCATAAAACCTTTAGGTTGAAAAGACCTTTAAGATTATCGCGTCCAAGTGTTTTAAATAATAATGTTTTTAAAAAAATCGTTAAAAATATAGCCTTTTTAAAATACAGTGTTTTGTTTCATGCGTATTCTTTCATCTAAATTCCCTGATCCAACTGCTTCCTAAACAAGTAGCTTTTAGTAATACATGATTTTTCAAAAGTGTTAGAAAAGGAAAGTTGATGTTTCCTTTAAGAATATTCTCATGTAAATGCATTTACATGAATTATTCACATTCATCAGAGCTTGATCCCAAACCTAGCAAATTTTCTGAGTCATCTTCTTAAGATTAACAACTTTGATCTTAAATTTCAGGCATGAGGTATTTTTAGATATTAGACAGGAAAATTTGGCACTTATTTTAGGATGATGACTCGATCAAGAAACATGTAACAGGTTAAGGCATAATTAGCAAATGGAGGCCAAATAGGACCCTGTTACACAGAGCTTCTGATGTGTATTAACGTTCTAAAGAAAAATAAGATTTTTTTTTTGGTTTACAAGGTGTATTTGTGTTTTATATTAACATGAAAATGTTGAATATTTTAATGTGACTATTTGTGATTAAATAAGTCAAACCTTAAGGTCTTTATTAATCTGATTCTCCTAGAGTCTTTAACACCAAATCGCAGACCTCTTTTAAACCTTATCCAGTCGTATGTCTCCCTCTCGTGGCAGTGAAGCCGAAGTCCTCAAATGGGAATAATTTACTTTGAAATCTCTGCAGAGATTCTATAATAATGCCATTTGAAACTTTTGCTCCTTAGTCAAAATACAGTTGCTTTTTACATGGCTACTTTACAAGTTACATATGATTTATAATACAATTTGCTTTAGTGCCACTGTTATTCCATTTGATTCTAATTGATTGTGTACACAGTGTGTGATAGTAGATTCTGTATACTCCAAAGTGAAAACCAGTAATCAAACTAAACCTGCTTTAAAGAATAGAGAAAACTTATAGAGACAAGCCAGGGAAAACTGTGCACTCTGAGGGCATTTCCTTAAGATAACCCAAAACCTAGTCTAGAAAATCAGCTTTAAAGAACAGGTTTTGCAAAAATTTTCATTGTATCTTTATTCAATGCTACCATTTCAGTGAATGAAGTTGACAGACACCTTAAAAATAAAAATCTCAGATAAATCTCTTTTTTTTTTTTACCCTGAAGCTATGAAATGAGCTCAGGTGTTCCTCAGATGGTAAATCTACAGCTGCTTTGAGGCTCACTAAAGTGAGGTCTGTAATTCACAACCATGGGCCTGAGGCAATGGGGAAAAGACAGGTCTTGGGGAAGACTCAGCAGGTAGTAAAAAATCTTATGCTGCTGGTAATTTTGCCCATCCTTAGTCCTGATCTGGTATTAGGAGAATGATTGTCTCGTCCGAGATGCTGAGTGAAACAGAGGTTGGTTTTGCTTCCCCAAAGCTCTAGGAAGAAATAAGGGTGACTTGGCTCTTGGTGCTTCAGAAGTATTTACTCCTACATGATTCCTTCTTATTCTCAAGAACATGAGAAGTAAACTCATTATTCAAATTTACATGGCTAAATATACCCATATAAAGCTTGATATCAGAATCTACTCATCTCCTATGTCTTTCTGTTCCCTTTCCTCATTCAGCCCGGTGAACTTAAAGACTGGTTTGTTGGTCGAAGTAACGCCCAGGGGATAGATCTAAACCGAAATTTCCCTGATCTTGATAGAATAGTCTATATTAATGAGAAAGAAGGTGGCCCGAACAACCATCTGTTGAAAAACATGAAAAAAGCTGTGGACCAGAATCCTAAGGTAAGTAGCGACGCTCTTGAGTATTGAGTCGCGTACAGACCATTTCTGCCAGTTTACGCAAGCAGAGATGTAGCAATTTCTAAGATTTTTGTGTATGATTTTTATGATTTACATTATTCTAAATATTTTGTTAATTTTGTTAAATTTATCAGTCCAATGCTTCCTTAGGTTCTTCTAGAAATGGCTTGCTGTAATAAATCCTTTTGATCCATATTGCTTAATCCTCAGACAATTCCTCTTTCAAAGCATGTTTTATTTTTAAGGCCAGAGATTGTGTAGCCTTCTCCCTTGGTTTGAAGCTATTCTTGCAGATATTCTGCATTTTTACTTCCAGAAATTCACTTGTGTATTGTACTTAATTACATTGGTGACCAGATTGCTGTTTTCACTTATAATGCATGCATCTTTGTTAAATTTAAGCCTTAAATGTACAGGCGTATATATGGAGGGACTTCAATCTTTTTTGTGTTTACTCCCACAGGAGGTTCTAGAAAATATAGTGTTGTGATTGCAGTCCCATAGGATTGTGGCAGCAATAGGCATATTCTGTCTTCAAATTCAAATTATTAAATGAAGTAATTTTTCTTCCTCTGCAGAGAATAGACTGTATCCTACTAACATTTATTTTGAATTAGTTTACTTTCCATGGTTTTAAATTTTAGGATTTTTTTTTTAGTCTGTAATGGGAAGAAGTAAAAGATTGCTGATTCAGACTTATATTAACCCACTTAGGCTGATTCTGATATGTAGGACTGATTCAGTTCTATCTGAAGCAAAAATAAAATTTCTGTTAATTCAAATATCTTATATATTATATATGATTGAATGTTTCTACACTGAATTATCAAATTGCAAATGCTATTTGTTGTAGCTTGCTCCTGAAACGAAAGGGGTCATTCACTGGATTATGGATATTCCCTTTGTGCTTTCTGCCAATCTTCATGGAGGAGACCTCGTTGCAAACTATCCTTATGATGAGACTCGGAGTGGTATGTAGTAGAAGTTAAGATGAACTAGTAAGAGATACAAATTACATTTTGTACTCATGTCACTGCCACCTAAGGTCCAGTTTATAAACATCATGTCATGGCATTATAATGACTTGTTTTAGCATATTAATTACCTGTAAAGCTAGTCACTGTATGGCCAGGTTTTCTAGTTTTGTAAGTAGATAGCTTGTTTCAGTAGAATTACATCAAAAGAATGATGTAATACCTAAGGGAATTGTGGTCCCTCTGATATTTTAATCAAGGCAATTTAACACCTAAATCAGCTGAGGCTGTTTGTACGGTGTTCACTGATGCGAGAGAGATGTGTCTAGGCTGCCTGTATGATCTAAGGTTTCTCTATTTACCTGTAAAAAATGAATTCTTGAAAGCAGCAGTGTGCTAATAAAAACAGCTATCATTGTTTCCACTTTCTCAATATCGGTCCCATATAAAAAGGATCACATTGTGGCAGAGATATTGTCACTTAGCATGCACCAGCATTAGTTTCTTTTTTGCATCCCTAGGGAATGTGCACGACTGATATGGTGACAAGGTGATGGTGTTGCTTGTGGTTGTCTTCCTTCCTTCTCCTTTCTCCCAGTTTGGCTGCAAATCCTTAGAATAGCAGACTGTGAAACTATTTAGGGAGAGGCCTTTTTCTGTGTACTGTGTATTCTTCAAAGAAAGTATCTAAAGCCTAGAATGTGCTAGATTTTGTGGTGAACTTTGAAATTACTAAATATCAGGACTGTTAGGAATAGTTACACTAATAATGGGGCAACCTGGTACAGGCAGTCGATGAACTATTGGGGAAATGTTATTAAGATAATGCTGTATTAATTTATGATGCTGTAGGACACTTACTCATGTATAGAGAATTTCCAGGCACAGTCCTGCTGTGCAGTGCTGGTAATCTAGCTTGTAAACCCAGTTGTTATGACTGCCCTTTTAGTAATCCTTGTTCTGGCCTTTTTTCCCTCCCTAGGCAGTGCTCACGAATACAGCTCCTGCCCTGACGATGCTATTTTTCAAAGCCTGGCTCGCAGTTATTCTTCTTTTAATCCCGTTATGTCCGATCCAAACAGACCACCATGTCGTAAAAACGATGACGACAGCAGCTTTGTGGATGGAACCACTAATGGTGGTGCATGGTACAGTGTTCCTGGAGGTGAGCACCACTGTGTGGGGGTTTTGTGTCACTGGTGGTTGTTTTAAGCTTGAGTTTTCACTGGTTTAATTACAAGCTGGGATACCACTAGGTTATTGACAACTTTTGGTGTGGTTAAGGTTAAATCAGAGAAAGATCACTCACCACAGTACATCTACACAAGCCCATAAAGTTCGCCCCTGCTTATTGCGGGGGGAGTTTCGACTGGGTGACCTTTAAAGGTCCCTACGAGCCCAATGCATTCTACAGTTCTGTGCAGGCTATGATGCAGTGGTCTTCCGCTCCAGGTTGTCAAGTTTACTAGTTCAACAGTGGGTGAGTGATTGCTATGCTATCATGAGAGCTTAAGGTTTGGGTTTTTTTAATTAAAACAAGAGTAAAAAATCCTCTAGCAAACCCTGATGAGAGAGCAGGCTAGTGACTGTTCATTTTAACCTCAGTAATGAAAGCATCCAACCTTGAAAGAAGTGGAGAGGCCTGATTTTTCAGTGTTATTAACAGTGGGGATCTGTCCTTTGATTTCCTTGAGAACAAAATCTAGCCATGAAGGTACTTGCATCTCGGTACTTTGTGGCTCAGTGCTTGTTTCCTGCCTGGGTAGCATTCCTGTAGACTTTTTCTTCTGTGAGAGAGCAGAGCTACTGTGACCAGCTCAACACTAATCATAGAATCATTTAGGTTGGAAGAGACCTGCATTATCACTGAGTCCGACCATTAGCCTAGCAATGTGAGGTCCACCACTGAACCATGTTGCTAAGCACCACATCTACACATCTTTTAAATACCTCCAGGGTTGAGGACTCAACCACTTCCCTAGACAGCCTGTTCCAATGCCTAGCAAGCCTCTCAGTGGAAAAATTTTTCCTGATATCCGATCTAAACGTCCCCTGGCACAGCTCAAGGCCATTTCCTCTTGAGCTATCTCTCATTACTTGGGAGAAGAGATCAACTCCTACCTCACTAAAACCTCCTTTCAGGTAGTTGTAGACAGCGATAAAGTCTTCCATAATATTCCAGAAGTCTAGAGGAATAGTCTGAAATGAGACATTACATTTCTTTTTAGTATATCACTTTCTTTGTAAACTGAGGCAAAAAAGCGTTGGGATATTGAAATCTTTGAGTCTTCTTTGTTTGCTAAACTTGGACAAAACTTCAAAGTGAAAATGAGCTGGGGATTTCTGAGCTAGAAACAGCTCATGTTAGAGTGATTTGCCTGTGCATTGACTTTCTTGATTTGTACCAGCTAACTTTGAACAAACATATCAATTCAACTGTTTACTTTCCTCTTAATACTCAATTACAGCCTCTGAATGAATTTTAAATTTCTACCCAGAATAAGTGGGAATCTCTCAAAGCATTAGGACAGCTTAGGTGGTAGGCTAACCCTGCTCCCTTTACAGTAAAGGGGTACTAGAAGAGGAAAACAATTAAGTTTGCTAAAGAAATTAGAAGCAGGACAATGACTGGTAGTGCTCACACAGCCACTGATGACTTGCTTAAACTTAGAATTGCTGTTCTCAGTCTTCAGAGGAGCAGCTTGTTTCCTTTGCTGTAGAACAACAGGTACCAGGGACTGTGTGTAAGGTAAAATGTTGACATTTCGGAATATAATTGAAAAGCTAAACTTTCTTTTTCTGTTTTCCTCTTCTAACTGGAACCATTAAAGCACACTTGACAAGGCAGAGTTTGCATAATTTGAAAAAAATAAATATAAATAAGGTATTAAAAGGATTCATAGTTAATTTTTGCTTGAATTCAGTCCAAAAATATCTTAATGAAATATCAAGTATTAACTATAAAAACATGGACATATTTAACTTCATCTTATTTTTCCTTAGGAAAATGCTATAAAAACCAGTCTTTCCGTTGTTTTGATGAAATGCTTTGATTCTGACTAAACTGCACATGCCAAAAGCACATTTTTCCATTGGAAAAACTTGTTGGAAAGTTTGAATTATTTCCTTCTTTTGGATCTTATTTTAAGTAAGACTGCAAATTTCCCAAGTGAGCCCTTCCTTTTTCTCATGTATTTGTACAGAAGTTAGTAGACAGAATTCCTAGTTCTAACTGGAATCTATGATCCTAATATGTTACAGCTAATAAAAAATAGAGGCACAGCAATATGCTTTGGACCATACAGCATGAATCTCGGTTTAGTTTGGGGTTTGGTTGGTTGGTTGGTTGGTTTGGGATTTTTTTTGTTCCCCCCCCCCCAAGTGTAGACATCATCTGGCAAGCTGTGACTTTTGAACAAAACCTCCGTGGTAATGTTTGCCACAGGCTGACTTAAAAAAACAAAAATAATTCAGCAAAAATAGTTCTGTTGTTTCCATGTCTGGTCCTAAGGAAAATAATTAAGCATTGCTTGGTTCAAGTGAAATTTTATTGGAAGCTTTAGTCCAAAAAACTCTGTCTGGAATCTGAAACATGGCATGTAATTTATCTGTTGTATCAGTGACCTTTTGCTATCCATATGATAAGATGCTCAAAGTCACCAGTGGTATGAGCTGTTGAAAAGCCATCTGTATTGATTTAGGAAAAGTATTTCATTGTCTATCCTTACCGGAGTTGAGAATTTTTCAAGAGGAATTCTCTGAAGAGACTTATCTTCGTGGCATCTGCTCCAGTTTGGAGCTAAGGTGGCGCTTCTCTGCCTTTGCATCGTTGCGTTGCTGTGGGCTCTTCTGGTTCCTGTGAGGGGGCCTGAGAGTGGCTCAGTGTCCTGTGGGCAGCTTACAGAGTAGGCTTGAATCCCTGAATGGAGGCAAAATGGTAGAGGACTTCCACAAGTTTATGGAGAAAGCGAGAGGCTGTGCGCTCCTAGATGTTGTCCTGGACAGTACCTCCTCAGGCCAAGAGCTCTGCGCTGTGAAGGGCTGATTTTCCTTTCTAATAAATTACTAAAGTTGCCGTTGCCCTGTGAAGCTTATCATGGTGCCACCAGTTGTGCTGCATCTATTTCTTTGCCCCTGCAATTTGCCCACAGGAACTTCTAGCTTCTGTAAAAGACAGCACTGCATGGTGAGCCAGCAGCAGTCTTCATCAGTTCCTCAGTATGCAGGGATAATTTATGGGTGGCCCTCTCATGTGAGTTTGGGTTGCTTTTGTGCATGTTTTTCTGAAAACCTAGGTTCTTTCAGTAGGGAAGGCTGAACGTTTGGTGGTGGTAAAGTCTGATAGCTGGACTGGTCTCAAGCTGGATGTAAGGATGAACCTTCCACTGCATTCATGTTTTGTTCTTCCCTCTGGTCAGACCTTAGGGTTTCCTCATCAACCTCAGGCAAGGTGGCAATTCTCCATTCAGATTCTAGCATGAAGAGAGCAGATGACATACAGAATATTTGACACTTGATTCTGTCTCTTAATATGCTTTGCCATTAGGTTTTTCTCACTATTACCTGCTTAGCAATTACTTTCTTCTGTGGAGCAGGGGCACAGAGAAAATAGCTTCCTGACAGCATCTTTATGCTAAATCTGTGACCATGATGCCTGTTACGCATGCATTGTATTAGTTGTCATCTGTAATTAGCTGATCCTTGTAGGTTTTTCAGAGAGCAGTAAGCAAAGGCAAAGAGGTCATTCTGTGTTCAGGAAAGGCCCTTTTATCTACTAGATCCAAGGGAAAAACAAGCCTGTACATAAAATCTGTGCTATTTTTAACACTGGTCTTCTCCCTATCAGTATGTAATTAATGATTTCCATTAAGCACAAGAAAGCCAAATTAAATTTGCACAGACAGCTTTAATTTTGGCATTTCCGTAGCTGTTGAATGCATAACTTTTCAACATCAGTGATGGTTTTCTAATATCCCTTTTGTGTGGAATATCTATTTGGAAATATAAATGAGAAGAGCAGATAGCAATGAATTACTAGCTAGACACATGCCAGTTCTGCTTGTTCTGTCATTATAGAGTCACCTGAGTCTAATCAGATTCACGTAATTACAAAAATAGTATTTCAAAGCCGCTTACATTGCTGTATTCTTAGGCTATTGTTTAAGTGTCTTTTTAATTTCAGATACTCTCAAGTCACTCTTGGTACTCAATTAATTGATTCCTAGCTTGAATTATCTTTCATGTTACTAGTTTTGAAAGCAATGTTAGTAAATTCTTTTTGGGTTTACATATGACACGTGTAGGAGGCACATGTTCTCCTTATTACGCACAGGGCTCAAGTTCATCCTGCCCTGCTAAAAGTTACTGTATGTGTGTAGAAGCTGAACGAGCTTAGTGCTGTAGCTCATGAGTCTGAGTAATTCTGATTCCTGGATGCAAGGACACACTCTGCACTTCACTTGGGTTGTGAGGTTGCAGTTCCTAATTTTTAAAACCTGAGGAAATTAATTTTGCTCCATCTTCTAAGCCCATTTATGTGAGTACTAATGTAGAGACACCGTAGTCCTTCAGGGCAATAGAGCAGTGCAACGGAGGATGGTTTGTATTGCTCAGTTTCAAAGAAAGCTCTTACTGTGGTCAGCGGTGAAAGGCATGAATTTCATTTGTATCTGAGGTCTGCTAAGTCTTTAGAGTGTGGTCCCTGTTAAAGTATAGGAAAGTTAGTTCTGTGCTATCCTTTGTTAAAACGAGAGACTTCTGGACCGTGGTGGTGTGCATGGATGGGGTGTATGCTGTGTGCCTAACAAGAAGGTGTAGGGCGGTTAGCTTGACTAGTGGCAGCAAAGTTGCCCCAGTGTTAAGTAAATCTTTTGAAATGTACTGATTTCTTGGATATTGCACCTCATCACCGTATTGAACAGGCAGGTAGAGAGTGCAAATTATATGTAGCCAGCCTGATGTTCTTCAGATTACAGATGTAGTAGACTGTAGTTTAAATCTAGGCTATTTAAACACCTTCCTCCATCCCAGAGATCCAGACTGTCACCAGCAGCTCAGTGATGCAGGCTGAATTTTTTCAGGGGTAACAAACTGTGGCCCAGGCCAGGAGCATTGTGCACAAAACTGGAAAATATGGTAACTTTTTAGTTCTGCCCTTGAGAAAATAGGGTATTCCTGCATATCACCTTGCTTTGGAAGGCGGGAGGGAGGAAGAAACTTCCAGAGAATTGAAGCAGTAATCGTCAAGAGTTGTTGACACCACAGGAAAATTACATCACGCCCTTTGGCTCCCAGTTCTTCTCTTCGTGGATTCTCTCTTTCTTGTGGAAGAAAGGCAAAAATCAAGAAAAACAACATTAGTGCCTGGAGCAGATGCCTGGCAGTCAGCACTGCTGTTAGGATTTTACTTGTGACTCTTCTGCTCTCTCACTGTGTACTGATGAATGGTCCATCTTGCCTTCTGCCTGGTGGGACATCAGAGCTGTCCCTCTCAGGAGCACCTTTGCCTTTGTTGACCTCATTTTTCAGCCATCTAAAAAAAAGCTTAGAAATAGAAATGTTCTTTTAGGATTCTGAAAAGTCCCTGTTCCTATCAGTAGATAGAAATCTCCTTGCTTGGTTGGCAAAAAATAGATTCATCCTAATGTGCTGGCAAAATCCCACCTGACTCAATGCGTTTGCTGCCCTCAGTGTTCTCTTTTGGATATGACATCAGCTCTCTGGACATTTCTGGACCAGTGCACAACACCGGTGCTTTGGTAAAGAGACTCCATTAGGTCTCTCATGTAGCTTGCATGGGTGAACATAGGGCTGAATTAATTAGCTGTGTTTGAAGCACTTTTAAATCCCTCAGTGACCTCCATGGGGATGCTCAAAATGCCTTTTTCTTTTGAATCCTCCATTTGAGAATCCGCTCACTCTGCTGGCTAGATAGACTGAGAAGACAGGCACTAATTCTGCATCAGCTTCTACAAAGAATATATTTGTAACCTTCCTGGGGACAGCCACAGTCTGTCTTCAGCTCACTGATCCAGTTACAAAACTGGAAACCAGCTTGGTTATTGCTTGACTGATTTGATAAAATAGCCAATATTACCATGTTGTAAGTGGAGGGTCTCAGAAATGTAATAGAGTACATCTTTTCCATCAAATTTTTATTGCCAGTGATGATGCTACTACATATATATATTTATATTTATATGTATCTTTAAATTTCTGCGATTAAAATTGCATTCCTAATGATGTTTCTCCTCTCAGTATCCAGTATTGATTTTGCAGAGACATTGAGTGGGCTGAAAAATTTCTGTGTAAATAAAGTTTATAGGAAGTTGCTTTTTTATTTTTTTTGGTGGAAAGTATTTGGAATCTATGAAGAAAGCTTGACAAAGAATATTCCTTAGCAAACAGATGCTTTTTCTGTAAAATATTACTGAATTGAAACCCTGTATTTGAAAAGAAAACATGGTTTTGACCCACCTTTATAAGCCCTTTTTCAGTGTCACTTTATCATGATCTGTTTGCTTTATAATTAACTGCCATTCTTCATCGCTTACGAAGTGGTCATCTTTTGCTTTCATATGGAAATATTTTATCCATAATCAGAAATAATTTTCTGTACCTGAAAAGTAAAAGTAATTTATATGTCAGCTATTCAAAAACATATGTCAGATAGGAGTATACAGGCCAGGTGCAGCATCAGGTAGAACTACACATGCCAAGTGTCTTTTCTAAACTTTCTCTGGGAAGAAAATGGTTTGGGGAGTTAATTATCCTGTTGATTTCTCTGATTTAAAGCTTCTGAATACAGAACTAAGCTGATTAAATGGAATTGCACCTACTGTAATTATAGCTATTCTTTTCTTAATGGCCCCAGCATCTCACGTGTCTCCTTTTATTTACTTCAGAACAATGCAAAATGCATCACTAACTCTCTTCTCTGGCATTGAAATGCAGGATTTCAATTACCTCAGCAGCAACTGCTTTGAAATCACTGTGGAGCTTAGCTGTGAAAAATTCCCACCTGAAGAAACTCTGAAGGGCTACTGGGAGGACAACAAGAACTCCCTTATCAATTACATCGAGCAGGTAACAAGAAAGAGAATGGCACTACTCTAGTTATTGTACGTAAAACTTCTAAACTTTGTATTATGTGAACATCTAATTGAAAATATATTAATCCAACTGGTGCTCCATAATTCTTGTGTCTTCAAGATGGTAAATCCTGTGTAATCTTCCTAAATATGTGGAAAAAAAAAAAGAGGGAAAGAAAGATGTTACAGTATGGGATTCATAGAATCATAGAATGGCCTAGGCTGGAAGGGACCTTAGAGATCATTTAGTCCAACTTCCCTGTCATGGGCAGGGATGCCTCTTAACTAGATCAGGCAACACATCATCTTGCTTTAGCTGTTGCAGGGATTTAAGTGATTTGTGTTGGCATCCTCAGTGAAAAGAAATACGCATCACCAGAGTGTGTAATTCATTCCCCCAGCACTGATGAGTATATGAAGAGAGATGGGTTGTTCTCTGCAGATATGAACACATATGTACAAGTGTGGGATGAATCTCTCTGGATGTACACGGGGAGCCTGGAGGGCTGGGTTAGGCTGTGGCTGCCTGGCAGTTCAGTGTAACCTTGGGGGGACATCTCTAATCGTGGTTTTGTAGATGCTTTGCTGCTCTCTGAAACCTGGGTGTTGTAGTTAAAGGTCACAAATATATCTGATATCATTAATGGCTACACACCTGGGATTGCAACATCAGAAACATACTTTGTTATTAGGGCTGTTCAGTTAATACATTCATTTCTTTAAGAACATACTAAAGCATTCCTACACAAGTTAGCCAGAAATCTGAAGTATTTGAGTATTTGAAATGTTTGAGCTATACCATTCTGTTAATAAGTTGTATGTGGCCTGAGGAAAAAGCTATACCTGCCCTGCACGTTGTTCTTCCCATTTATTATGGGATCCATCTCAAATTGTTCAGCTTCTTTGCACATGGATTTTCTCTGACTCATCGAGAACTATGGTGTCACTGTCAAAATTGCTAATGTGTAAGAGATAATTTTGCCTATTTCCTTTGCTCCTGTGGAGCTGCTGGCTTTATCCTTGAAGTTCAGATGGTCTATTTGGCATTGGTTTTTATCATTTTACAAGATAAAGAGGATTAGCTCCATGCTCTAGCTCCTCTGTTTTCACTAAGGACAGTGCAAATATGTACTTTCTGCTTTTCTAAGCCAATCTGTGTCTGTCTTCTCTCACATGTAAATTAGAGGAATCTGGTGAACTAAGTTGTAGCAGCTGAATACATTGTATAGGTTCTTAAAGGGGAAGATCAAAACATCAGAATCTATGATCCACAAGTCTTTTCAAATATCAGAGGATCAAAGAGAAACCTGAACTCCACAAGACATGCCAACTTAATTTCCAGGCTCTCCATGAGATGCATCTCTGCACAGGTTCCAAACATCCCATTCTCAGAAAACTCCCTTATCTCAGACTGTGAAAAGGTAGTTGGTTCTCAGCCTCTTACCTCTGAGGTGCTCAGTTGGCTTTCAGACCATGCTTAAAGAATACCACTAGGACTGGTCTCTCCACACACTGTGGTCCAACTCGTGCTTTAATTTCATATACGCTGGGAACAGATTAGGTAGTACTGGTGCTGTTGCCTGGAGTATGTTGCCTAAGAGGCAAAAGGGAACTAGAATGTGTCCCACCATCACCATTCTCTCACAGTGCATGTGTAGTTGTCATCATGTAGACTGTGGGATCCATAACATGCATCGTTAGATACGTCAGTAGATTAAAATGCCGTTTTTTCTTAAGAATTTTCCAGCGATTTCCCATCTGTTTATTTATTTATTTTTTTAATTTATTTCAGATTCATCGAGGAGTGAAGGGGTTTGTTAAAGATCTTCAGGGCAATCCAATAGCAAATGCTACTATTTCAGTGGAGGGAATAAGCCATGACATTACATCAGGTGAGCATTGTACCTAAGTGAAAAACAAGTGCTGGAATATACTGCTTCTCCCTCTGTTTGGCAGCCTGGAACCATTTCAGAAATTATTTACTGAAGCTTGAAGCCAGGAGAGCATGTTGTGCCTCAGGAAGCTTTTTGCCTGCAGCATTTCATGAATCTTTCTCTTGTATTTTGGTCTCAGAGTAGCTAGAGGCTGGTTGTTGGAACTTCATGGATTAGTGGCATGAATGGGTTCTGGTGGCTCTTGGTTGTTCGTGCTTAGTTTGTCTTCTGATCTGTGGTGCAGGCAGTGTTTCACAGCTCTGCCAGGACTCAGAGTCCTGTTGGCATTGACATTTTCAGTTTGAAAGTTAAATGGTAGTCCAAAAATGTTCTATTACTTACAATGTGATCATACCTTTTGGTATGTAAATTCTTGCCAGGTTTTCAGTTTACATAACTTCCTACTGCAGAGATAAGTTCTCTTTGCTGTTTACAACTATGTGACTTTTTTTTTAGAAGAGTGATTCTAAAAGAGGAATGTATCATGTTTGTGTTCTCAGAAAATGATGTCACCACTTGAGTAATGTTGGGCTTTATTCTAGGAATGAATTCAAAGGTAGCTTGCACTGTGCCAACTTGAGTCTTTCCTGCAGACCTATGCTTTCTTATTCTGAATGACAATTTTTTTTTGTTTGCACAAGTTACTAATTAGAAAAAACGTGAGCTGACAGTATGGTCATTTTCTCAATGATGTATCTCACTATACTGAAACAGGACCATTAAACCCTTCAGTTGGTTTGGTTTTGGGTTTGTTCTCACAAATCTTTTGCAAAGAGGCTAGCATTTCTACCAAGTGAAAGAATGGTGTGTGATAGCACTAGATGCCTTATTTCACTGTATATAAGAGGGAAAAATGTATAGATGCTGAAAATAAATTTTCAGGCATAATAAAAAGGGAATAAGCTGTGCAAAGAGGTATTTTGAAGTATGAGAGTGATGCAGATGGTACTACAGCTCTTGCTTCTACAGTACAAAAAAGCAACTAATCATGAATCCTCTCATATCATTGTGTGTATATAAGCCTGGGAGCCATGTATTGTCAAAACAGTAAGAAAAACAAGTACTTGAATTCTAGTATGTTCAAAAAGAATAAATATTATTTGGCTTTTTTTCCCCTGCTCCTTTGTTCATGAGTTAAAATTCAGCTTTGTTCCAGTGCCAGGAATTAGAATAGATCATTATCATAGCTCTGCAGCAGTATTTTTTTCCTTTCTGTTTTATGAAGAGAAAAGTCTGGGAACAACTGGACTGAGTACTGACGTTTTTTGACCGTGCGAATTTCAGACATTGAAGTAATATTTCCCTCTGTGTGCAGTGTAGCTGCAGATGTGCTGAAAAAGCATTTAAGGAACAGACAGTAAGAACACGGCCAAGTCTTTTAAATGCCACAGTTAATTGACCTTTAGAACAGCTTTGCAATGTTTTCTGGAGGTAGAGAAATGGGGCGTATTAGCCTGTGGTAAATTAGATCATTGCCCACTACTGGTTTAGGGAGAATTTAATCTGTGAAAATGGGAGAGGGTTGTTTCTAGAGAAGAGGATGATGCACTTTTATTCTGTGACTGAAATACATGATCTGCAGTTATGCTCAGTGCACTAGGAGCCTGCCTTTGACCTGGGCAGATCAAGCTTTCATTTTTCTGTTGAGCTAAACAGAAGGAAAAAGCCCTAGACATTGTCTGGATACTGGAATGTGTAGATAGTGATACACATGCAATATTCTACGAAATTATTTATAGCTTTCTTTGCAAGATAAATTAAGAAAGTTGGTCCTATTTATTTAAATTCAGTGAGAATAAAGTGTCTTTACATTTGGATTTTCAGATACTGAGGGACATAAAAAATGTGCATTGCGTTGCAAACTGAAACTCAAACCCTTAACAGAAGCTGTACGTTGGCCAGGGGGTGCTTCTAAAGTAGGATAATACATCTCATGTTGTCCTTTTATTCAGTGTGCTGGAGAGCCTTCAGCAGGCAAAGTCTTTCATGGAGGCTACAGCACAACTTCAGAGTTTAAATCTGTGGTTCGGTTATCTGAAAAGAGGAAAGATCTGTAGTGAAATATTTATACAGCCCTTGCAGGAGATTCCTTTCAGACAGACAAAAGGACTGACCGGAATGCAAAAGAGACTGACAAAATGTACAGTCCCTTCTCTTTAGCTGCGTATTCAGTTTTATACATATTTATTTGGATTTTTTTCTTCTTCTCTACAGCCAAGGATGGTGATTACTGGAGATTGCTTGTGCCTGGAAATTACAAACTCACAGCCTTAGCACCAGGCTATCTAGCAGTAACTAAAAAAGTGGCTGTGCCCTTTAGCCCTGCGGTTGTGGTGAGTGCTCACATGTGTGTTGATCTATTTCATATATGTATATATAAAAAATAAATAAAGTCGCTTTCTTTTTTTTCCTTGTAAGAAGGAGGTGATTTTTCAGAATTTGCTAATTTAGAAGACAATCTGGAAATCCACTCTTCTAGTACTTGCGGCAAAAAACAATGAGAGTAATTTCATTGTAAACTCATTTCACCTCCTGACATGGGTGGTGAATAAGACCTGGGCTGCATCTAAGAATTCAAAATTATTTTTAATTCATCCTCTGTGCTTGTGTGGATTCCACTCGTAACAATTAAAAGAAATGCTTATTGCTCTAGTGCGCATCATATACTGGGATATACTACACTAAGCACATCATATCTGCACTAATTAGCCATGTGTCAGAAAAGCGCCCTGAATCTTATTCATGGCATAAAATTGAATACATGTTTTGATATGCTGGGGGTCTGCATTCCTAGGTGTTAGCAGTATGCTGATGATGCTTTTTATTGTATGCTAGATGATTTATGTGGCTGGCTGTTATTCAATTTCAATTTCATTGGCCCATATATAATCATAGAATGGCCTAGGCTGGAAGGGACCTTAGAGATCATCTAGTCCAACCTCCCTGTCATGGGCAGGGATGCCACAATTTGAAGACTGGGCAAATGTCTGGTTCTTATGGAAAATTTCCTCACCTGTGTGCATTTTTAGATACGTTTATGGTACTGATATGCTAGTATTGCATGTATTTAAATCAGACACCTTGGAATAAACTTAGCCTAAAACAGAAGGAACCTCCGTAAGCCCCATATCTGTCTTAAACACCTTCTGTCACTAAATGATGTTTAACAGCCGACACTTCTATCTTTCTACAAGCCTGACCAATGTTATTGTTTCTCTTACTCAGGTTGATTTTGAACTGGAGTCATTGTCTGAAAGAAAAGAAGAGGAGAAAGAAGAGTTGATGGAGTGGTGGAAGATGATGTCAGAAACACTAAATTTTTAAGTGAAGATTTTGGCTTTAGAGCTTCTAATCTATTATATGTTGATTTAGTATAATGTACTGTGGAAAGTCTCTATATTCTAGATTTTGTGCACTTCACAGTAATTAACTTTGAATTTTTCAGCCATCTTTTGATTAATATTATTACAAATAACTACTAGCCTCCTAGCTAGACAAGTAAATTATTACTTTTCTTTCATATTGTTATAGAAAATTTACTCTTATATACAAATCAGAAAAAAATGAGTTAATTTCTCTGCAGCCTATATGGAAGTACAATCTATTGTGTATTATTTGCAAGTTCAGAATAGTAGGTTAACTCTGGATTTTAAAAAAGAAATATGCTGTAGTCAATTCCCAATACTGCCAGAAATATTTGACAGCACATAGTAGTAGACAGTGCTCTTTTCTGAATTCTATAATGGATGTTATTGAAAAGATTTATAATAACAGTGTGTGGTGTAATAATGTTTTACAAGGATTAAAATTCAGTATAACATTTTGTATGTCTCTGGTGTTGAGGCTATTTAAATATGTAAAAAACATAAGCTGACTTCATTTAGGTAAACAGAATGAATCTCTGTAAGCTCTTTTATTACAGATGGCACAGAATGATTTCAGGAAATAGCAGAGCTTCATCCCTTAAACTGTTGATGATATTTCAATATCAGGTTTTAATTATTTCTCATTACTTATTAACCAAATTAGAAATTCTGAATGGGTGTAGAAGAGCTTGTGCATCTTGTTAATATGCTGCTGGTGTTTGTTTTACAGCAAGAAAAAAGAAGGTTTCAGGTGATTTCTAATTAGATAACTACCTTTTCAACAATCTTTACATATGTCAGTGGGATCTAGATAATCAGACAAGAGTTCATATGTTCACTGAAGGCTATCAAAACATTACAGTTTAGACAATAAACTGTACTGAGGACATGCATTTAGTTTCACAAACCAAGAATAATTTTGTTTCCAACTTTATTTCTTCTGCTGGGTATTCTCACCTGAAACTAGAAGTAAGGTAGATAAGTGATTTTTTTTTTTTTAAGTGTCATGATATTTTCCCCAAAGACTTGAAGATGGTACAAAAATCAACCTTGATTGAAACAGATCCTTCTTCCTCCCATTATTATTTTTTAGCGTACGGGAATTAACTTGCTTTAGCATTTTGTCTATGATGAGTGAAATTTGCAGAATCAGAAAATACACATGAACTGTAGTGGGTGCAAGTTTGATAGAGTTCTTCTGAAATCACTGGCAGTATGCTACTTGATAGCAGCTAAGCATCTCATCTGTTTGAAAGCTTAGACAATATTGCTGGTCTATTTTAATTCAAGATCAGATGTTAGATATAGATTTCCTTCCCCTGTTTTATTAATATCACTGTCCGTGTTTTGATTGGCACGTTCTTTAGTTGATGCTGTAGGAGTTCAGTACCGTTCAGAGCCAACCAACAATGTACTATCATGCTTCTCCCATAAGTGAAAAATCACATTTTCAGGTGTAGGATCCAAATTTACCTCCTTTGGGTATTTAAAAATGTACTGAAATTGCTGGTTTCTGAGAATTTGATACTCTTTAGTGAAAATAGCACTTAATTCTTTCAAGTAACAGGCATAAGGTTTGACACACACTGGTAAATTGAACAGCAATAAAAAAGCATAATCTTCCTTTCTCTCTCTGATCAAGACTTTGCCATGTAACCTGTAGCTCATTTGGATAGTAGATACGTAATTCCAACCTTCAGGGGAACTTCACTCATGCAGTGATGAACTTTGATTTTCCATTGTGATGAGGAACCCCTGTGGCAAATGAAGAATCTTATCTGAACGTGTCTTGGTAACAACTTGTGGCTATTTGAGCACAACAAAGGATGCCCAGTTACACCAACTCAGGTGTTCGTGACAGTTTGAAAGGCTAAGACATGTAGCACAAAACATACTCTGTGTCTGGAAGCAACGTTACTGTTTTCAGCCAGGTACAATCGAAGCAAACAGCATAAAAATGCATAGTTAACGAGAGACTGCCGGCATGTGGGCAAATGGCTACAGGAGTGTTTTTGACCTGTAAACTAATGTAATAAGACAAGTGTATATTTGTACAGAACACCCTGCTTTGCCCCTTCCAAACCTAACAATTTAAATCCAAGATATATTGCTATGCAATGTGATGCCTGTCATGTATCTAGTCTTCTATGTGGTGGATTGTGCAGTATATTTAGTACAGACATTACATCAAAGCGATCTCATAGCAGATTTCTAATCCATACTTGTATTATGTGTGAGATCCTCCAGTCTACCCTTTCATGCATTTGCAATTAAATGTGATGTCCCATAAATGAGCTCTTCATTTTGCTCTAGATGACTGCTTGCTATTATTGTGCTGAGAACAGGTTAAAGTGATTAAATGTTAAAACACCAGAGCCACTGCCACTGTTCTTGCTGTAGTTAAACATCCCTCAGAACAGCGTAGCCAGGACTCTTAATAAATTAATTCATTATGTAGCTTTCTGAGGTAAACTGAGCTGTGTTGTAGGACTGTGTATGTTTAAATGGAAGATTAAAGTGTTGTGTGATGCTGAGCTTTTGGTTAAAAAGGCACATGCTGTACTATTGTACAATAAATCTGCAGGTTTATTTAAAATGTAAAGTGTGTGAGTAATTTACAGGTTTGAAATGTGACCTTTTTGGCTGTGCATGTCTGCAGAGTATGCCATAAACATCCTCAGTGAGGTGCATGTGCCACTTAAGTTGCTGTTTGAACAGAGAAGCAAGACTGGGATTAGTGCTGGCATCCCACTGAGAACCGTCCATAGCTCCTTAACTTTGTGCCAGAACATCCTCTTTGGGAGTATACATCTTTCTGAGCACTTTTCCCATGCAGGTTCTCAAATAAAGTCATGGATGAGAATGAGATGCTCTTCATCCATGCATGGTTCGTGGGGACAGGGCATGAACTTCGGCATGTCTCGTCTTTCCACGGTATTTACAAATCTAGTTTTTTCCCATATCGGTCTTTAGGATTAGAAAGCACAGTGTGTGGTATGCATGCGAACCCATGGTACTATGCATTCCTTATAACTACAGCAGTCAGGATTATAAGAACAAAGTAAGTAGATTAAAATCAGTGCATCTGAATGATCTTTCCCTTTTCCTAGGTTGTGGTGTCTATGTTGATATATGTGAATTCACCTGTAGCCCTGCCTATTCCTGAGCTGATATTAGCATACATTAAAGTGTAAATTAAAACTGAGATGGTGTGTAAGAAAGAATTGATGCTGTAAGAAAGAAGCTGTTACTTCTGAGTTTTTTGTAACAGATCTAACAAGTGCGTTAGGAACACTTAATAACTAGCCTGTGAAAGGAAGAGTATTCGGAGAACAATTGACAGGTAGGTTTAGAGGAGCTGGAATTCAAAGTAGTTCTGTGAACCTCTCCCATATACCTGAGCTTAGTTTCACTGAGGCCTGTAGAGGCTGTGGAATAGCAGCAGTTTAATGATCACTTCTGTAATAAGAGTTAGAGCAGCTGTTTAGAGTTTCTCAGGAAACCTGCTCCACCTGAGGAGCGCCTGCGTTCCTACTTGTGGTTAGCACTGGAAATGCAGTTCCCAGAAACATCACTGCAGTGCTTGCTTTCTGCCTTCCTGAATTCTGCAAAGAGCCCATTCTGATCATCTCCTTGCAGGTATTTTATTCCCCCTGTATGTTTCTGTTTATGTAGAACTACATCTGTTGTGAATAATTTACTGCTTGTTAATTTGACTTGTAAGTTCACCCATTGACACAGCATCTGTTCCAGTATTTCTGACTTTGACTTCTGTAATTAAACCCAGAAAACAGAAACACTTGAGAGATTTTTCTGAAAGTCATGGCATAATAAAACCCAGTGGGCTGGTTTGCTTCCTGGATTGTAAGGGTTTTGAATGAGCTTGCTTCAAGATTCCGTTTTTAAAGCCTGCTGTAGGGGAAGAAGAAAATAACTGAGAAGTTGATGTAATCCTGTGCCTCCAGGAGCTAAGATTTTGAGTAGTATAGCAAGTATTGGAATGGACAGTATAAAAATGAGATATTTAGAAACAACTGCTGTTTACTTTTACTAGCTGTGATAATGGGAATATATTAATTGAGTTAAATGGCCTTGGCATGCTGATCTTTCTTCAGCCCTCCTCATTTGCTCCTCTGTGCCCCAGGCATTATATTTCAGCAATGACCTAAACACATCCATGATTACCATTTGTTAAACTGCTAGATTTTCCCTGAATTAATAGTTAATACTTCATGTTATTTTATCTTCGTCCTACTTTCATATTCAGTTAAGCCACCACAGATTTTTGTAATCATGCATCCCTCTGCACACAACAGAAGTTGTCAGATAAGCGGGAGAGTTTGGCTCCTGCATTGGGAATGGAGAGGGAATTTGACATGTGGGAATGCACTGGAAGCAGTTTAGCATTGTGAAATAAGGAGATTTTTGTAGACCTTTTTACTAATTATTCATTAGTAAAGGGCTCAATAGGATTATGTTCCTGTGGAATTCTAGGAGTGCAGTATGTCTGTGCCTTTAGACTTTAGGTAAAGCCACTCTGGAAAGATTCCTGTTAGTTTCACTGAGGTTTTTATCAGGCCTTCAAGCCTGGTATCTGAGTAGTCAGGACTGTCTGGTGCCAATGTTCATTTTGCATTAGTGGTACTTGTTCTTCACCTTGTCCAGGAGAAAGATGCAAAAAAATCAAGAAATAAAGTCCACTTGCACAAAGTGCAGAATTGGTCATGGAACTTGTTAAAGAGTCATTGCAAGACCTAAAGTAGAAGTAACGGAGATTAGCTGGACCAATGGCAATCTACAACTCACTGTCTGAACTGCTTCTCAGTGGAAGATAGGAGGGTATAATTCAAAGTGCTGTTTTTGTTACATTCACCCACTGAAAATGTGGTGAGGGCCATAATTTAGAGATAAAATATAGAGCTAAATGAACTTCTCACCTGGTTGCAGCATCACAGGAATAGAGGGTTTCACAGTGCTGCAGTACCATCCAGTAATGTGAGATTCTGGTTCATGGATTTGGAGGAGCATCTATTCTGCAGTCCTACATGGTGCGTGTGCTTGTGTCCAAGGGCAAGAAACCAACATCCCTCCCCCACATTCCAGCACCTCTCACACAAAAGGTAAATTAAACACATTTGAGAAACTATGGACATGATTCAAGAGAGGGCTTGGCTGCCAAGAACAGTACAAAATTACAGTGTGACTTCCCTCCCTTCAGCTCTCTAAATATCCGCTCATGTGGCTTTCCTTGGCTGCTTCCAGTTCTCTGTCTGGGTGTGTCAAAAACTAGCCCAGCCTGAGAAGCAACAAGGATCACTTGTGCCAAGACCCATCGGGAATGGATTACAGGGCTTTGTTGGGTCTAAAGATACTAAATTTGCACTTGCACTGTGAGGCGGGTCCCCTGATACGGCCTGGCATCCTGAATGTTTCTGCCGGCGGAGGCAGGAGGCAGCTGCTACACCTCCCTCGTGATATAGGAGGGGGATCTGGCCTATGCCTCTGACTTCCAGTCAGAGCATGGCAGGCATACATTCAGACTTGGAGGCTGGAAATTGCTCTTGGATCCCATAGATCAGACATGGTTTCTGAGACATTGTCTTAGAAACTCAATCTGAAAAGAAATAGAGGTAAACTTAATGCCACCTTCTTTCCCTTTTGGATTTGGGTAATTTATTTGAAGGTTTATCATGATAGTGGTATTTATTGCTGTGTATGCGTATATCAGCATATCTGCTTTGTGTTTCCTATGGGGGCTGGAATGCTTTTCTGTTTAAAGAAGTTT